TCATCTGTAAAATGGAATTGGACTTCATGGCCTCTGAGGCCCCTTCCAGATCTAAATTCATCTCATGAACTAGAATTAGAATCCCTTATAGTAACCTCTGTGGAGATGATAATTAATCTGGATACTTGGAAATGGTAAGACTCTATCTTGGTACACTGGTGACACTTTTCAAGCCTACGTATGGCTATCCTGATGTAATGAATTAATTTAATGTTAAGGCTGTGATTAAGGTGGCTGCTATGTCATAGAATGTACAGAGTCAAGTAATAAAACCTAGAAGAACTTTGCTGCTACCATCAATTACCTTTTAGGTAGCACATGACTTCTGAAGGGTAACTTTGTCCATGTATGGCATTTTTCGTAAAACTGACAGCAAAATAAATGCTACTCACACTGGGAGATAACAGTCACATGATGATTTGAGGAAATTTAGGGTCCACCTAAAAAAGTCTCAGGACATGTTAATGAAATGGATAACAAATAATGAATAATATTAATTTAACTGAATAAAGAGAAATAATGATGCAAAGAATCCCAAACACTGTACAATCAAGGGGGGGAAAGAGCTTCTTTCTGGCTATGGAATATGTGACACTTTACATCAGAATAAACTTCCAAATCTGGGCTAATATTAAAACTAATTTGTGTTCCCTGAGACATACACACACACACACACACACACACACACACACACACACACACACACCCCCCAACCAACACAAGCAAATTGCCTGAAGGCAAACTGGGTATCAGAGGTGTACTGGTATTTGCTTCAGGTAATCAATACTTGTATAATATGCACACTGTACTGATAATAACTGACATTTAGACAGTGTTTTCAATTTTTTTTTTTTTTAGTGAGGAAGTCAGGAGTTAGTGACTTGCCCAGGGTCGCACAGTTAGTAAGTAGCGTGTATCTGAGGTCAGATGTGAACTCAGGTCCTCCTGGCTCCAGGGCCAGTGCCATCTAGCTGCCCCCATTGTGCTTTCAATTCCGGGCTTTAAATGTATTTCTTTCAAGCTTCACCAAACCCCTTTCAGATAACCACTGTAGACATTATTATCCTCATTTTACAAATGAGGAAATTGAGGCCCTAGATAACTTAATTTATTTGTCCTTATCCCAATGACTGAGTATCAGAAGCAAGATGTGAATGTAGGTCTTCCTGACTCCAAGCTCTGCGTTCTATCCTGTGCCATGTTTCCTCAATCATCATATCCTGGCTAAATTATCTCCATTTTTCAGGTGGGTTAATGTGTCATTTATTGTCTTTTCTAGTACTTATCCTCTATCACATTTCTCTAGACATATCATTGTTCTGATATTAAAGTATAGTTACAGTATCGATCAGTGTGCTTTCAATTTGCTGCCATATTCCTCCTCAGTGGAGGAATTCAAATAAAATGCATCTATTGGTCAGTTACCATCTACAGGTTTTTTTTTATCAAACCCTCATTTCTGCATAATTCTTATTCTTTGTAGGGTATATTTATTATCATAGGATTTTAAGATCCTAGATTCAGAGCTGCAAGGGACCTTGGAAGTCATCTGGTCTAAATCTTCTCATTTCATAGATTAAAAAAAAAAAGGAGTTGATGGAGGTTAAGTGACTTGTCTAAGGTCACACAGACTATAAATGACTTTCTGCTATGTAGAAAGTAATCCCCTTGAGGGCAGAGACTATTCATTATTATCTTTGTATCCAAAGTGCCTAGCACAGTGCGGGTGCTTAATAATTTTTTTTTCTGAGTTTCAAAATTTCTGATGGATCAAATATACTTTTGTCTTAATGAAAGTATCCTCTCTATTTTTATCCTAAAAAGAGCCTTGCAACTTAAAAATTGTCATCTTTTCTCTCCCTCATTTTTTCTGTTCATTCGGATGACTTGTCTCTAAGATTCTTCCTATTTTTCTGCCTTCCTACTATTAAGGTGCTCAGGGAAGCAGCTAACATCCCATTTATCAAAGTGCTTTACGTTTTTGTTTCCTAAACCAAGGGAGCAATAATAAATACGAAGCGGGGAAGATGCCTGTCCCCAGTGTGTTAGTATGGGCAGAAGACTCTGGAATAGAGCAGGAGCACTGATTCCTCTTGACCTTCTTGACACCTTTAGCTTTCTACCTGGTGAAAAGAGGACGAGGAGGTAGTTAAAGGTAGTCCTGGACTGGATTCATTAAGTGGATGTTTTTGTTGCCTCCTATGGGATTCCTCTCAAGCATGCCCTATAGCATTTGGCTGTTACGATTAGAGACACAGTCAAATAATAAAAAAGGCCCTCAAACCTTTTCCTCGTGTTAGCCTTTATTAAAGCAGCACTAAAGTGATGTCCCTAGAACACTAAAGTCTGGTTCCTCAATTCTTTTTACTAGGTGAAAGACCACTTTAAGATGGCCTATAGGGGCCAGTGGCAGAGTTCCCCTCCTCAAAGTTCACTCCTCAAAAAACAAAGTTCAAAGCGAAGCTCACTCCCCAAAAAGGGAGGAAGGAAAAGAACTAGATGCAGAGGCAGAGGATGTATTAGCCTCAGAGTGTTGGAAAACATTCCTACCCTTGTGCTGCCTAAACTCATATTGCCCTTTGGTTCTGACCCGTCCAAGACCTGTACCAGACATGGTGGAGCCACTACTTAACCACACTGAGAAAATAAAAGCTGTCTTTTCTGCTTGATATAAATCTAGTCCTTAGACCTAGTCAGTTTTTCTCTAAGTACAGACTGACAACTCTCTGTCTAAATGGAATGAATGAGTGCCTTTTCTTGTATTTTTTTCTACTGGTCTGCCTAGCAAGGAACATTAATAATAGCTAAATGTGTATATGAGGCTTTAAGGTTGATAGATCACTTTTCAGAAAGAATTTATTGAGCACTTAAAATGACTTTGAGATATCATCTGACACCTATCAGATTGGCTAAAATGATAGAAGTGGAAAATGACAAATGTAGAAGGGACTGTGGAAAAATTGGGATACTAATACACTGTTGGTAGAACTGTGAACTGATCCAACCATTTTGGAGAGCAATCTGGAGTTGTAGCCAAAGAGTTATGAAGCTGTGTAACCCTTTGACCCAGTAATGCTACTACCAGATCTCTTTCCCAAGGTGATCAGGGGAGAAGGAAAAGACCCTATATGTTCTAAAATACTTATAGCAGCTCTTTTTGTGGTAGCAAAGAACTGGAAATTGAGGGGATGCCCATCAATCAGGCAATGGCTGAACAAGTTGTGGCATATGATTGTGCTGGAATACTATTGTGCTATAAAAAATGACAAGCAGATTGATTTTAGGAAAACATGGAAAGATCTGCATGAAATAACGAAGAGTAAAATGAGCAAAGCCAAGAGAATGCTGTATAAATATTGAATATTGAAATACTGAATCTTATAAATACTCAAATCAACTACAAAGGACCTATGAAGGAAGATGCTATCCACCTCCAGAGAAAGAACTGATAAATAGAAGTATTCATAGTAGATTTTATATATATATTTATATATATATATATCTGTATCAAATGGGGGCCTTCTCTAGTTCAAGGTAGGGAGAGAGGGAGGGAGACAGTTAGAAACTTGAAATATACAACAAAATTTTTTAAGCACCTCTATGTGCTAGGCACTATGCTGAGGACTGGGGATTCAAAAAAAGGCCAAAGACAGTTTCTGCTCTCTAGGAGCTTACAAACTTCACATTTATTATCTCATTTGATCCTAATGCAACCCAGTAAGGTAGGTGCCATTAGCCCCATTTTACAGATGAGGAAACTGAATCTGAGAGAGATTAAGTGACTTGCTTAGAGGTCACACAGCTAGTGTCTCAGGTAGGACTGGAATACAGGAAGACCTAAGTTGAAAGACTCCAGCTCCGGCCTCCTATCCACAATATCAAAAGGCCTTTCCTAAAGTTCCTTTTTGTCTAGTCCCTCTAGGACAATATTATTCCCTTTCTAACCTGATCTGAACCTCAGATTTTAAAGAATCCTTATGTAGGCTGAAATCTCTAAAACCCTGGTAACCATTAACATGCTAGATGCACCCTTTGAGTTTTCACTACAAATGCCTTAACCTTCTCTATAATGCTCTAATGTTATAGATTTGCAAACCAGATGATAGGTTTCCATTCTGGTACTTACAGATGGGAAGAGACCTTGAACCTTGAATTATGATTAAGAAGAGCAAAAATGATGTAGTGAAAAGAAAACCATACTTGGAATCAAGAGACCAAGGTTTGAGCTTATTTACTACTATATGTTAAGGGTAAGAGTGCACGGCCTGGGAATTAATTTCAAAGACATCAGTTGGCCAGAGTCACTATCTACCATATTACATTGGCATCAGACCCTCATTCCTACTTTGTCTCCTCCTTTCCCCTTCAAATGCACTGTACCCAAGCTTCCTGCTTAGAATGTAAATAAACTGAGTGACCCTGGGCAAGGTGTTTTAGGGGTGCTGGAAAAATCATTTCACATTTCTATTTCCTCATCGGAAAAATGGGGATATTAAAACACTACCTGTTCCACAAAGTTGTTGTGAGCAAAGACTTTTGCAAAGTTGTGAAATAAGGAGATTGGATTAGATGCTCCCTAAGGTTGCTACCAATTCTAAAATCCTGTGATCCTCTGTTTTCCCGACTGGGCTCCTCTTTATACCCTTAACAGTTCAAGACCATGACACTTGTTGTAGTAAAAGGCTTTTACCTCTGGGCTTGTGTGCATTTTTTTTCCAGTGAAAAGCAAGTCTTCTTTACCTTTCAAGGATGTGCCTAGAAAAATATTTAGGTCTGACAGAGGAAATGTCTTGCTATGGTGAAAAAAAAAATATTTTGCATCTATATACCTCTTTCCTCCCTCAGAGCTCGAAGCATTTTACAAGCATTATACACATTTATCCTCATAGCTCCCCTATGAGAAAGAGCTAGGAAGTACGTTCTGAATAAACATTTTATTAGATTATTTAAAAGATAACCACAGAGCTGTATATTTATATACATATATTCAGGTTCTGTTTTCTAAAATGAGGACAGGAGAAAATGAAAACTGCAGCTGGCAATCTGGCCTGAATCCCAAGCCATTTCAGGATTGTTTCCACGCTGCTCAGTGGCAGACCCTGTGCTGGAGCCAGACTGGCAAACTGGGTAGGAGAATATTGTCTGACAGGACCTTCATGTGTGGCTCTTTCCATCTGAGATAGAAGTCCTCTTTAGGGGCCTTCTCTGACCAGACAGATTTCTCTTCTTTTAGCTCAGTTCTGAAAAGAATCAAAGTTAAAACATAGTCAGGGCTCCACTTGGTAGTGCAGTTGCATTTGGAGTCAAAAGACCTGGGTTCATATCCACTTGCTACCAGTGTGATCTTGGGGAATCATTTAACCTCTGTGGACTCTAGGTTTTCTCAATTGGAAAACGAGGGGTTTGGAGTAGATGACCTCTAAGATCTGTTTCATCTACAAATCTACAAATCCTGCTAGCTAAGCCAACAAAGAATGAGCAAATGAATAAAAAGCAGACAATCAGCAAAGAAGAGATTGGCAGCTAGGTGGCACAGTGGATAATATATCCACTAACACCAGCTGGATCTGGAGTCAGGAAAAGCTGAGTTCAAAACCAGCCTCAGACGCTTGTTAACTTTGAAACCCTGTTTGCCTTGGTTTCCTCAGCTGCAAAATGGAGATAACAATAGCCCCTACCTCCCATGGTTGTTGTGAGGATCAAATGAGATAACATTTGTAAAGTACTTGGCACTGTTCCTGGCACTTAGCAAGTGCTATATAAATTCCAGCCATTGTTATATTTGACTCTGTATAAAGCTTGTAGGGTGATAAAAGAGAAAGAGAAATATAGTGCAATATACTAGGTTTCTAAGGGAATATACGCTGCCTATGGTTTTTACCATCATGCCTTAAAACCTGTTCATTACTCTTAAGCTGCATAGTATTCTGGATTTCAGACTGAGATTGGTCCACTCCTGGATGCCTGGCCTTGAGTCTACATAGAATATTTCTGCATTTGTTATCTTTCTGACAGCTGAACAATTTCCCCACTGCAGGCCAGGAGAGTTGGCAGGATTGAGCCAGCGTTTTGCTCTATCAGAGATCACTGGCTTGGGAATTCAACAAAACAGTCTAAGGTCCTGTTAACCCAGCTGTGAGCCTTTTGGGAGATAGCCGGGACATGTTGCAGGAAGGGATACTAAGAGTGTGTATATGTAGAGTACATTTAGATACATATGCAGTAAGAAAAGATATTCAATAAAAGTACCATGACAATCATACAACACATTTGTTGGATGTGGAGAGCTGATAATGGACCTTTTCCAAGGTATTAAGAAGATTACTCTAACTGAGCATGTGATATGACTGGCTTCTGAGAAAGAAGAGGCATCGTGCTCAGGCCCCAGCCCTAGGCTGCACTTGACTCCTTATGTAAAAATGCCAAATGCTGAGTAGAGACAGTGTCCTTGGTACTTATGCCGAGAACTGACTGGGAATCACCCCATGAACCTGGCATGACACTTTTTTTCCCCGATACTTTCCTATACATATTTGTAGAAAGAAACTGAAGAATGTTCACTGTTTCAGGGGAATGTGGGGGTGTTTCAATCTCTCACCCTGTTCCCCAGAAAATAAAATATAGAGTCGAGGAAAGTATAACAAATAGGTATTAGTCAGTCTTCCAAGGATAGAGAGAAAGGTGGAGTCTTATGTGGGATGAGGAGCCAAAGGGCAGTAAGTCTCTGTATGATTCAGCCATCAAGATCACACTACAGAAGACTGGGGAACAAAAGGCCATCCCTGCTACTCAGAGGCTTACCCAGAAGTTCATGACTACTGTATTTCAATGACTAAGTCATTGAAACTTTCATAGAAAGAGGACAGCAACAGATAATGGCAGACCTCCCCAGTGTCCTCCAGTAGGAAATTACAAGGCTAGGCCAGTCAATTCTAGAAATTTGAATTAACAACATGAAGAGGAAGGCCATGCCTTCTAGTGTCTCTCCGGATTAGGTTGCTTGTTGGATCCTAACACAGGGCAACCTATTAATGCATTTATCCAGTCAGCAAGGAATGTTCATTGATTTGCACACATTTGCAACTGCACCTAGTAGGCATGGTGCTAAATGCTGAATGAGATAGATAGATAGATAGATAGATAGATAGATAGATAGATAGATAGATAGATAGATAGATAGATGATAGAGATAGACATGTACATAATATATAATATATACATACACATATATACATATATCTATCTATATTTATATGTATGTGTATATATATGTATATATATATATACACATATATAATATCTATCTACCTTACATAACCCCTGCCCTCAAGAACTTTATATTCTGTTTGGGAAATAAAGGTATGAACATGAAATACTGCAGTGCTTGGCAATATCCAATGATAGAGACAATAAGTTCTATAAAAAGTCAGGAAGGGAGTAGATCATTTAAGTAGTTGAAGAAAGACCTTGTTGGAGAGGTGAGACTTAAGTTGGGCCTCAAAGGATGAGCAGGATTCAGATAAGTGGAGAGAAAAGGGAAAATAGTTTTGATATAAATGGAGACAAATGCCAACCTAGCAAAAGGTTTCTTTACAGAAAGGAATTTGGCAAATATGGTGGGATTCTACCTTTATTGGCATCTTCTTATCTTCGGACATCATTATATGGAAGGCTGAGAAACTTGAGCTTTGTATGGTGACCAATGAGGTGCCACTGGAGGTTTACAATGAAACAGGCCATTGGATCCAAGGATTTAGAGCTATAGGAAACCTTAAGGACCAAGCCATTCTTTCTAGAAATGAGGACAACAGGGCTGGGCTGGCAAAAGTGATGTGCACATGGTCACAAAGGGAGTGGAGACAGGAATCCAAATTCTAATCCAAGCCGTCTGATTCCAAATCCAGTGCACTTCCTACTAAAATGTTGATTTTTAAAAGATAAGTTGCCTCATCTCTCTCCTCTCCAATCCATCTTCAATCTATCTATCAAAGGGCTATTCCTAAAGTGCCACTTGGAACATATGACTCCCCTGCTTAATAAGCTTCAGTATCCCCTTGGATCAAATGGAAACTCCTTTGTTTGGATTTTCAAGAACTTAAAAACCAGGCTCCAAACTAGATTGTCAGGATTATTTTTCTTTACCCCTCCTCAGTGCTCATGTAACTAGATCTTTCTTGTTCCTATCTCCATTCTTTCCATAGGGTCCCCCCTATAGTACATCCCTTCTTTACTTCTGCCTCATATAACTCCTTGCTTTTTTTCAAAGGTCAGCACAAGGGCTACTTCCTTTCCTGACCTCCCAGCTGCTAGTGCCTCTCTCCCAAAATTATCTTATATCTATTTGGCATATATTTTACATATACTTATGGGAATACATTAAAGCTCTTTGAGGGCAGGGGTCTATTTCATTTTTATCTTTATATCTCTAGCACCTAGTACATTGACTAACATAGTAGGAGCTTAATATATAATTATTGATTTATTGATTAATTAGAAATGCTTAATAATGGTATCAAACTCAAATGGGAGGATCCTTATCGGCCAAATATTGACTGAGAAAACCAGAAATTAACATTATCTATATTGTATTATACTTTTATTTATTTTGTTAAGCATTTCCCAATTACATTTTAATTTGGTTCTGGTGCACTCTGAAGTTTTACGGATGCATGTGAGATAATGGAGATGAAGATTACGGTAGTAGCAATGAGAATGAAAAGAAAAGAACAGATGAGGAGATGTTTCCGTACAGCCACAGAACTTGAGAATTAACAGGGAACTTGGGGATTATCCAGGTTGGTTGTCTTTAACTGTATGAATGCGTATATGTGTGTATGTACGTATGTATGTATGTATGTATGTATGTATGTATGTATGTATGCATCCATCCATCCATCTATCTTTCTATCTCTATAATATTTTGAGTGACTCTTCTGTTCTTCATTGGAAGCCTTTGATTGTGAGTGTGGGAGTGGGTTGCTGATGGACTAGTGGTAGGCAAATGTTCTGTAGGGAGAGCACAATCAAGTCAGATGAACTAAAGGCAACCAATACTTACTAAGCTCTTACTTTATTATACAAAGACCATATCAATTGAATAGATGAGTAAATAGCAGAAAAACCACAAAGGCCACCCAAGAGGAGATCAGATAGAAAGGGAACTGAATTCCAAGGCCATGGAGGAAAGGGGGAAGGGTAACAATCAGGTAAAGAGAAAAGAGAAAGATAGGAACATAGACCACCATCTATGAGACCATTCCCCCTGCATCTATTTTTTAAATGTTACCTAATGGGATGGAGCTGATAGAAATAAGCAGCTGGCAAAGACACAGCATACAGCAATGGAGAATCTGCAGTAGCAGATCCTGGCATAATCCCAGGTTGGAGATGAGGCTGTCATAAACATGTAGGTTCACATGGGAGTAGAATAATGTCACACTCTCACCAAGTGATGAAGAAAAGGTTCTTTCTTCTCTGAGTCTTCAAGGAATAAATGGTTGTATCCTCCAGAGCCAAATATCATCAGGATAAAATAAAATGTCAGTAGAATAAAGTGGTTTTTAAAAAATACAACTGTATTCCTATAGAGGCAATTTTTTTCCCAGTCTTCCTACAACTGAGTGGATTTGGCTTTACTATAACATAAGAATTAAGGATCTTACTTAACTGCCCATTCATTAAAACAGACCTCCCTCCTCTGATTAAAGGAGAGGAGTTCAGGTGGCATTAGTGGCCTATACTGTGAGATGTGGTAACTAAATTGGTTGGTTTTGCTTAGATCAGGGGTGGGGAACCTGCAGCCTTGAGGCCACATATGGCCCTCTAGGTCCTCAAGCGCAGCCCTTTTACTAAATCCAAACTTCACAGAACAAAGGATCCTCTGTTGTCCACTTGAGGACCTAGAGGGTCACATGTGGCCTCAAGACCACAGGTTCCCTACCCCTGGCTTAAATATTTGTCTTTGTTGCAAGCAAGGGTTCAAGTGGGAGTGATGGCATAATGGAGAATGACAACGGCATAAAAAAGAAGAAGAAAATAATAAAACTTTAACTTAGAAATTCATCATTAACACATAAATTTAATGCAACAACAACTACTACTACCAATAAGTGAATTTGAAGTACTTGGACTATTATCTAACTTGACCATGTTTCTCTTCTCTACCCCTGCCACTTAGGCAGAGCTGCTACAGAAATACAAGTAGCAATAAAGACTGAAGAGGAGAAACAGGGCCTGAAAA